CGGGGCCGCACCTGTGCAGCAGGAAGTCTGCGTCGTGGCCGCCGCCCTTGCCGCGCGCCGCGCCGCCCACCGGCGTCAGCACCCAGCCGCCCAGCCCAGTAGCGGCCTCGACGGCCGCCTCCACCGCCTGGCGTGGACGGGAGAGAGGAATGAGAAACAAAACGGTCAGCTTGGGAATATGGGGCCGTATCGCAGTTGCACAGCACAGGCACTCAAACAGGCCACGCGACAGCTGGGCTTGACCTGTTGGGGGGTTGCTGTCGTCCCAGCAGGCTTTGTTTCCACAGGCGGCCCTCGGTCCGTCGGCGGCCCCGTCAGCCTCGCGCTGCTCAGTTGTCTTCAACAAACACTTGCATTGCCGCGGAGGGAGCAGCCCCCTCTTCCCCCGGATCCTCGCCCCCGACCCCCGAAAGGGGAGCAAGGAACGCCATCCTGCACGCGCAACCGTACGCTCGCGCACGCCTGTGCGCACGTGTCCGAGGCGCAGACCCAATTGCCCGTGCGCCATGATGAATACACAACCAGACAGCACCCCTACCCATCCCGCCTGGCTTTAGCATAATTTACCACATTTGCAGTGAAGACAAGCTGAGGAGAAAAGGTCACCTGTTGCATCTCCTGCCTGTCCTCCTCGGGGACATCCTCGATCAGATCGCGCCAGAAGCGGAGCTGCGTGGGACGATGAGGTCATGATGTCATGATCACGTCACCACGACGCCGTCGAGCAAGGGGGGGGCGGTCGGGTGAGGAGGCCCCACGCGATGGGGTGCGGTGCATACGGCGGCAGAGGGCGCGTGGCAACGCGTGCGGGCGTCTCTGGGGCGCGACAAGCAGCAGGGGCGTGGCGCGCAGCTCAGGTGCCGCCGAGCGAAGCGTGTCGTTTGCCATCCAGGGGGGGCCTGCAGCACGGCACCCCAACGTGCTGCTTGGTATGCAATTACCAGCTACGGGCCCAACCCCCTAAACCACTAGCTAGGGTTCCAACCCTCTAGACCGTAGACTCCGAGCACCAACCCAACCCCCTAATTGTGATGCCCCAACGCACCGTCCCATATGCCTCAGCCCGCAGCCCAGCCGCGGCCCCGGGCCCTGCCCTCCAATCCGCGTCGGCTGCCAGGCGCTCCAGCTGCTCAAAGGACCTCACGCCGCACGCATACAGCCTGGGGTGACGCGAGCGTTTGCAGGCGGGGCAGGAGGGGTGAGGAGCCACAGAGAGGGCGCGGAGCGCAAGGGAAACGGTGTGTGGGAAAAGAGCAGGGGGTGTTGTGCGCTTCGAGTTGGATGGAATTGAGGCGGCCGTGGCCGGCGGTCGCCAATTGGCAAAACAATTATTCTAAAACACGGAGGCGTGGAGGAGCCGAAGGGTCTTGCTTTGAGGGTGGTCGGTCAAGAGTGCATGATGAGCGCGACCGCCAGATCAGCTAAATCAGCAGTCGAAAACTACTCACACAGCACCTTGTGGGCTGAGTTCCCATAATTCAAATTCAAAACAAGGCTGGCTTGTGCATGGCATGCACCAATCTGATGCACAGCGAGCGGAGGCCGCCCCCACTTTGCAGCGGTCTTGAAGCCCACGCCGGGCAGCTTCGCCAGCAGCTTCCGCGTGTGCGCCCCGGCGCTCTCGGGGCGGCTGGACACGACCTGAGGGGGCAGCGAGGTGTGGGCCCGTGGCAGGGCCGTAAGGGTCAGCAGAGCAGCACAGACACGCAACACGTGGCAGGGCCGCGAGGGTAAGCAGAGGCGTGCAAGCGCATGACGAGCCGTGCAGGCTGCGACCAGTGTGCACTGTAGATGCGTTTTCTGGGGGCAGAGGTGCGGCTCTTGCAGCCGACAAGCAACCTGGGGCTGTAAGTGGGTCTCATGAGGAGGACTGATGGGGGTTTGGGTTTCCCCGCGGTGCCGGGGAGCGAGCCCCTGGCCTGCACCCCTGAGGCCCCTGCGCAAACGGCCGATTGACTGCAATGTTCCCATGTTGGGGGAATGTTTTCAATGCACCCAACGCAACAATTTCGTACCCAGTTGACAATGCTGGAAACGCTGACGCCCCATCACTCACTGGCAGGTCGTTCCTCATGTTGTTGAGGCGGCTGCAGGAGCCGGTGTCCAGGATCTCACGGATGTCGGCAGCCACCTGTCAGTTTGGAATTTGAACAAGCCGCACGCTTTGTGCCAACAGCGCAGCCCCGGGATCGCTGGGGAGAACAGGACATGCAGACGCGCTGAGGACGGACGCCACACATGAAGTTTGATTGCCGGCTGCGCTGCAGTTTAACGCAACGATGATGGATTGACAGCTCAGCACCAAGCTCATTAGTCATTGCCTGGGTGAAAAATTCATGAATGGTGATATCCAAGGCAGGGCCCCACCTTTTTGCTGACGAAGGGGATGCCCCTGACGAGCTGCTCCTCTGTGGTATCGGGCCCTATCCGCCAGGCGCAGGCCTTGACGGCGCCGGCGGCCCGTGAGTACACCAGGTCCTTCAAAAGACGCACGTGTGTGTTTGAGGGAGGTGAAAAGGGTATGTGGGTGGTTTAGGGGTGTTGAAGGCGGGTTCTGAATCCAGGGGTTTGGAGCGGTGGGAGGTTGGGGCAGCAGCGGTGTTGGTCGCGTGTGCTAACACCCTGATCTGTGAGGGACATCAGGGGTCGCGGGTATAAGAGATGCAGGGTTTGGCCTCAAGGCAGGTGGGTTGCGAGAGCTAGGGGTTTGCAGGGGCCAAGATAGGGAAACTTTTGAATGCTTGCTTGCTTTAGGGGTTTGCTAGTGTATAGCTCAATAAGGATTGATACCAGGGTTCAGAATTATTGAAAAGAATAAGGATGGATTATGTTGGCCAAGGGACGTGGGTGGGGGACAGCAGGTGTCACGAGAGGTGGGAGCACGAATGAGGTGCGCGGCCGCCAGGTATTGTCGGCGCAAAAGCAGCACCCAGACTTCGAATATCCTACGCAAACCAGCGAGGTGCATGAGAGGGTGCCGTCAATCCAGGAGGTCCGCATGTGCCGCCCTGGATGCATCCTTAGCAGGTCCCTCCAACCCCAAAGCCTGCACGGGTCCTAGAAACTCGGCCTCAGGAAGTGACATGATCTTCATCATCATGTGGTCAAGGCAAGGTGTGTGTCACACGGGCCGCGTCTCACCCTGGGGGCCGCGCCTGCCTTGCTGCCCTCCCCTCCCGTTGCCTTGGTGTCTGTCACCGCCTTTTCATAGCTGGCGCAAGCGCACCACGAGCGCCGGCGGGTGTGGTTGAGGGTGGAATACCAACGTGGGTACAGATCAAAAAAGTGATGACGTGTGAAGACCTTTGAACAGGCTGGACGAATTTGGCACAAAACAGGCCCACGGCACAAGTGCCTATGATGCAGGTTGACCAGGCAGAGCAAAGCCCTCAAGACCATTGCTGCGAACCCTCCAAGGAGCCGGGGACATCGCGCCAGGGGCAGACGTTCCAATGCAAAAGGAAGATCCATGAGCGGCCCCGCACCCCGCGATGGCCCGCAAGACGGCAGACAGCTCCAGGTTGCCGTTCGCCGCCGCGTGCTCGTCGCTAAAGTCGGCCTGCGGCGGAAGAGCGCGGCGGTCGAGGATCTCAGGGTTTCGAGGGCTGCTCCAATCGGCGGCAGTGGTGGTGCGTTGAGCGCCGGGACCACGAGTGATGCCGCGGCACCGAGTTGAGGAGTCAGCAGTGGGGGGTGACGCGCCCCTGACTGCCGCGGCGTGATGTTTGCAGCTGTCTTTCGGCGTCGCGTCGAGACCGGCTGCCTGATGCCTGCTGCAAACAAGGCGGCGCGCATGCGACTGACGCATTGCTGGACGCCACACCCCATAAGCCACGTGCCAGACGTTTGTGTGAACCTGCCTGACCACACCTGCCCAGCCCCGTGGAGCGAGGCGAAAACCGTGGCAGCAAAACCCCCCTCTCACGTTCAGCATGAGCTCATTAAGGTCGTGCGCCCCGGCCAGGCGCTCGTCCCAGTGCCCCAGCCAGGCCCTGTTTCGGGGGAAGGGCGCTATTACGAGCCACAGCTGGAGGCCTGTGTGCCGCTTGGCTTCGCAACTGCAAAGATCAGCGGCTGGTGGGCACCAGGGTGGATTTCACAGGGACCTGCATAGACATGGCCGCCCCAAAGCGCACGAAACCATAAATCTCTGAGATCAATACCACACCCGGACGCACCCCGCGCTCGCCCCACCTGTACTGAGCCAGCTGCCCACCCTCCGCGCCCTCTCGCGCCCGCGCCGCCTCTGCAGCGGCGCCCGCCGTGGCGTCCGCCGCGCGCCGCCGCACTGCGGCCTCGAACTCGTCGGTCGGCAGCAGGCGCCCTGCGTCCGCGCACGCCTGGATCCAATCATCGGCCACAACCTTGACCACCCCGCCTGCCGCAGCCACGGTCCTGGCTGAACTTGGTTTGCTGGTTTTCGATTGCCTCTTGGAGCCGTTGGCGGCGGGGTTGCGTGGGGCTTCCGGGCCGGCAGCATTGGGGCCGGATGAGGAGGCGGCCGCGGCGTTGCCGATGGCGTTTGCCGCGGCGAGGGGCAGGCGGGAGCAGGCGGCGCCCACCACGAGCACGTCGCAGGCGGCGGGATCCTGGGAGAAGTTTAAGGGGGGGTGTTGAACGGGGTCAGGTCGTTGCCTAAGCACAGAGGGTTGCCGCGTGCACTCATGACGGGGGCCGCAGTTTCCTGTGGGTGCAGGGGCCTGCATTACGAGGACCTGGATTGGTGGCGCATGCAGCGCCTAACAGTGACATCATCGGTTCCGCAGCACTTTGCGCCCCGTGTCCACATCAGCGATCCGCGGTGACCAGGTTCGGTTGCCCCACCTTGACAAGCCTTATGGCTGATGACAGCTTCAGCATCCACCGCTGGCTGCGTGCCGCTTGGTGCTGCACCGACGCATCGAGCGCGACCTGCGAATGACCAACGGCGCAGCAGCGACGAGTGTCCAGGGGTGACACACTGCCTCAGAGCATTCGCATGCAGGTATAGCTCTGAGAAATGCCAATCACCTCGATCCTGCTATCATTGCGCTCCTTGCTCTTCGGAGAGATCATCGAACGCGCGCGCGTTCTACATCCAAACAGTGGCGATCATTCCAGCCGTAACCTTGGCCATCGCGCCATGTCCGGATGCAAAAGCTGCACCAACAGTGGCCTGGAGCGGCGGCAGCTGCTGCGAGCACAGTCATCGCCATGTCGCCGTTATCCCTGCAGTGTGCTGTAGGCGCAATGGTAGTGCATGCATGTCTGGAGCAGGACCGTACACCGCGAAAATGACATGACATGCTTCTCCAAGCTGCCTGCCATAGTGCCAGCTGCCACTCGATGGACATTGGCTGAGTGCTGCAGCAGGGGCTGCCGGTTGGAAACTAGTAAATCAGTAAAGGATCCCATTGTGGGTGCCGTCAGGGGGGACCGCGGGCTTGTGTAGCGAAGCTGGTGGTGGCGTGCACGTTGAGAGGGTTTGTCACCACCATTGGACTGCCGCTTTGCCAGTTGCACCCTGTCAAGTGCCCTCCCACCCTGGCCTGTTCCAAATCATGTGAGCCCAGGGCCTCAAGCAGGGCGCAGCTGCTGCTGTTGAAGGGCGGGGGCAGTGATAGTCGCTGCTCACGGCGAGATTGATGTGAAAGGTTGGCGGGCGGTCAAGCTTCCCAGGATGGTAAGGGCTCTAGGGGGGCCCATGACGTTGGGGAAGAGCTACAGTAGAGGGCCAAAACGCTTTGTTTCAGGGACCCAGCAGCAGCCCCACAGCGGCTGGCAGACCCCTCCCGGACGTCTTACCATGCCTAGCATGCTTGGAGCAAGTTTCATTCATTGCACGAGGCTTTGCTAAAGGCGGCCAAGCTAGGCGCACCGCAGCAGCGACATTTCTGAGTTGGGGTGTGCCACTGGCAGATGAGCCTGCAGCCAACCTATGTGTGCTTGTAGGTCTGCAAGAGCTGCGCTCCAGCGGTCGCAGATCCCAAAGCAACCAGCTCTTGCAGCCGAGGATTAACCCTTGAAACACGTACACTAAGTAACACCTGCTGACTGTGACAACACTGATGTGCAGCACCTGCCTAGACACGATTACTTACAGCCGGCGGGGAGGCTGGGGGTGCTGTGTGTGGAATATAGTAGGGCGCGGCCACCACCCGCTTCTCTTTGCAGCAATTTCATCTGTGCAGACAGTATGTGGCGCTGCACGCTGGCATCGATCTGGGAAGGGATGTCCGGCAGGATTGGCGCAGTTGGTGGTGATCAGCACCCGCATTTAGCTGGTCGTCGGCGGTGCACACACTGACTGCCCATTCTCGGACTGACAGCCCACTGCCAGGAATTTCAGCACAAGCAATCACCTGCCGTTCCCCCCCCCTTCCGTCCCTCCCTCCCTTCCTTCCCCACTCGCCACTCCTGTCACACTTTGATTCACGCTTCCCTCTGTTAATGGCACGCATCAGCATGCCCTGTTGTGCTTCGTCACTGCACTTGTTGGTCCGGTTGTCCAACCACGCAGTGGAAGTGGATGGCCAGATCCCCCTCAATGTGCGTCCGGGTGACAGCGGAACCAAGGCAGGCACATAATCCACAACCTTGCAAACGATTGCATTTTGTATATGTTTCAACCACGATACCCAAAACCACTGCGACACCACGATCAGCTTCGCCCCGGCAGCACGATCAGCTGCGACTCAGCTCTAAAGCGGAGCGCGGCGCGGCTTCATACACCGCGCCCTGTGACTTTCAGGCCCTCGTTGGGTTTGCTGGACCACTCACATCCGCTCATCACCCAGCGGTCGGGACGGCTACGTCGCTGCGCCACTGACGATGGCAGCATCATCGGGTAAATCTCAATCACTCCCATCCGCTGGCCTCTGACTGCCCTGTATAATGTGGGTGAACGAAGCTGTGCGGAGGCTGATATTGGGCAAGCCGCCGCCCGGCCGCAGCCCAATGTTACCCCGTCTCACAGCACGCAACACCACCTGACCCCACACCCTCCAGCCTGCTCTGGCTCCCAGCGCGCCCGTGACAAGGGCCCCTGGACTGTGCACGTCCACCATCACTCTTCAAACCCGCACACCGTCGTGCCGCGTGCGACGCAGCGTTGAGCTACGAGAGGCTGGCGGAGAACGCGTTTCCGCAGGAGTACCGATACGCGTGGGCCGGGCCGCTGGCAAACAACGCTGGCGGCGTGTTGACCTTCAACCTGACAACCGAGCAGGTCGTGTTTGAGGTGGGAAGACGCGTCCGCCCTGTATGGCAATCGTGCAGTCGCTGCGCACAGGCATAAGATGCGTTGGCGGCCCCGGGCGCGCGACTGCGTGCCTAGACCACCCCTTTCCCCCGCGTGCATGAATGCCAGATCACTCCAGCTGCCTGAGGACCACTTTTGTGCGGTGTTTGCTGCACCGGCCGCCCAGCATCGTTAAGGCAGGGGTGCCTGGCGCTCATGCATTCTGCCAACGCGGTGCGAGCAGCTGCGTGTGTGGCCTTCTGTGCTGCATCACTACTGGCTGCTTACCTCTCCAAGAGGACCTGCCCGCCCCCCCTCGATTTGGCGATCACGACCAGCACCCATGACAATCCCACATGCAGTCTGTTATCTGGCCGACGGACACACTGCGCCCGGGGGCGACGGGCGGCAGCAAGCCTGCGACCGAGTGGCTCAAGCTCCTGGTGGACGCGAACAATTCAAACGCCCCCGCAGTCACGCTGCGCCTGTACACCCCTGACAGCCCCGACGGCAAGGAACTGGCGGTGGACGCGAGTGGTGAGAGAGTGGTTGTCGTGACTGATGCTTGCAAAGCGCACGCGGCAGCAGTAGTGCGTCCGTTCACAGAGGCAGGAGGGGTCTAGCTGGCCTACACAACTGCAACACATCACCGCGTGAAAAAGCCCCGGAACCCTGAGGGCAAGCCACGTCCGGGGTTGCACCAATCGTCCTCCTGCGGCCACGCGTCCCGGAATGCACCCCAACGCGCGTAGGGTTCGCTCCCATGTTCATCATCAAGCCGCCGCCGAAAAACCGCACCTACTGGCTGTCGTTCGACCGGCGGCGCTGTGCACTCCGCTATGGGCGGGGGTATCACATGGAGGAGACGGTCGAGAAGACGTGGACGCTGGACCTGGAGTCAAACGACAGCAGGGGCCTGTCTGCAGGGGACAAGGCGGCCCTCCAGAAGCTATTTGGACGCACTGTGAAGATGGTGGGCTGGGCGATGCGTGAACGCCCATGGGGGGGGGGGCAACACAGGGCAACCGCTCTGCTTGTTTGACTGCATGCGTGTGCTCAGTGATTTTTTGGAATCGCCAGCCTGCCAGGGGCAACTCATCTTGATCCTCGCCAGCAGACGTCGCCAGACATTGACACCTGCGCCACGGCCATAATCGATGCTCGCAATTGCCTCTGCTAGTGGCAAGCACGCGCGCGCACACACGCGCACACACACACACACACACATACACACACACACACACACACACACACACACACACACTCACACACTCGCACACACACACACACACACGCGCCCCCCTGCCCGCCCAGGGCTACCTGAAGATCACCGGCGCCACGCCCGGTATGGGCGAGGACCGCCAAGGCGGCCTCCAAGACGCCGTCGACACCGTCGAGTTCGACCCCCTGCCGCTGGTCTCGGACCTCCCGATCAAGGTGCTCGACTCGTCCAAGGTTACGCTGGCGGCCCTGGACGCGCCCAAGGAGGAGCGGTATATGTTTAGCGCGGACCTGCCGGCGGCATGCAAAGTGCTCTACGATAACGTGGCAGGTAGAATCAATCATACTGCAAAAGTTTGCATGCTTTGCAGGGGCAAAATCAGGGCCATTGGTCGGCAAGCCAGACCGTGGTGCAATGCATGCCTCTCGAGCCTGCTGCATGCCTCTGCTACGCATGCAGCAGGCAGCACCCCTACCTCGTGGGCACTGCAGCTGTGCATCGGCGTTCAGCTGCACCTGCTACTCACGGCCGTGTGCGCCGTAGGGGCGGATGTGGTGCTGGATGAGAAGCTGGCGAAGGCCATCAGCCACAGCATTGTCACTGAAGGGCTGACGCTGAACACAATCCTGGAGGGCAAGGCGCGCGCAAACTCCGCCCCCCCCCAGCGAGCCTGGCAACGGGCGTCGCCCTTCTGCGGCTCATGGCAGCGGCGGATGACAGCAGGAAGGGCGGACACTATGACGTAAAAAAGCCACATCGTGGGTGCCACCAGCCAATTCTCTGCACCCCCACATCACTGATTTTGGGGGCCTCTGGTGCTTATCTGAGTACCATATGCATGCCACCTCTCAATCCTGGTGCTGCAGGACAAGGACTTTGGCTACCTGCGGATTACGCTGGGGCCAGAAGGCGGGGACGGCCCGGGCATCCCATATGTCCTCGAGATTTGGCCGGTGCGCATTGTAGGGAAACAGAATCGGCACGTCTGCAATCAAGCAGATGATGCTCGCTCAAGGCCGCTGGCCCACGCAACAGCGGCCTGCTAAGTGCAGCGGTCCTCATACTGTCGCACACGCTGGTGCATGCGCATGTGCACGGAAACGCGTGCTAATCCGCCCGCCCTTGCGGAACTCCTTCAAATTCTCAGGGCGGCAGCAGATCGCCCATCCACAACCACGGGGGCGTGTGCGCCGTCATCAAGGTGCTCCGCGGCAGCATCGAGGTGGCGCTGCACAACAAGATCGAGTTCATGGTGCCGGAGCCGGGGGTGAGAGCTGATTGCAGGCAAATTGTGGGCAAGCTTATTTCCGACACATTATGGGCGATGCGCTCGGCGCCCAGACATACGGCAAGCTGCAGTGCTCAAGAGTCGTGCCGACTTTCTGGCCTGCCCACTCTGCGTCTGGAGGACCAGCAGCCAGGACATGCGTTTTTGTGGTGCGACGACGCCTTGCCACGCTCGCTTTTGCTCCCAACGTCACTGCAGAAAGAGGACACCAGCCGCCATCCCAATGCGCAGCTAGAGGAGCTCAAGCTCGAACCCCTGAAGGTGGCAACCTTGGTCAAGGGTGACGTCACCTGGATGGACAAGAACTGGTGCGTCAGAGAGGGGCAGGGTCGGGCCAGACGACAAGAGCTTTGGTTGTGGCAGTGCTCGCTCTAGAGCTCTGCCAGACAGATCTGGAGCCTAATGTGTACGCATTCCTGGCCAATCAACTAGGGGCCATGCATGCATCGGGTTTCCAGCAGCACGCCGTTGCGCTTGGATCACCGTCTACCTTGCTAGTCTCTTGCGCACAACGGCGCGTAAGGATGAAAGATGGCAATCGCATGTGTGCAACAAAGCCCCTGCCCCTGGTTTCTGGCTGCCAGGTTCCAGTGCCACCGGCTGCACAACACAAGCGACCAGCGTGGGGACTTCTGCGCCACCATCCAGTGCTACAAGTGAGGTGTTTGAGATTGATTGTGGGAGGACGCACATTTGTGAGATCAGGTCTCGTAAGTTGTTTCTGTCCTCCATGCGCCCTAAACAACGGCTCGACCTGCCGCGTGATGACCTGCTTTTGCTTGGATCAAGGTCCTGCCAAGGACAAGCGAGCGGATTGAAGATGAAGACGACCGGCGATGCTGGCCGTGTTCGGTGTCTGGGCCGACCTCTCACTTCCTATGTACTGCAGATATGACGACGAGGACAGGGTCCGCTGGCCGGGCTTTGACTTCCTGTCACAGGACCGCGGGATCGGCTTCTTCGATCCAGAGAGCGACATGAGCTACTCGTGCGCAACTTGCGGCGGGGAGGGGGCCAGCAGGGGGCTCACAGGGAGCAGGGCCCACTGCCCGTTCTTATGTGGCCCCAGCCTCGCCCCCCATCCGGGCGCGGGTACACAGCGGGTACGTGCGTAGGCCAACTAGACCCTTTGGTGCCTGCAAGGCCTCACATCGACCATGGATGCACGATTTGCGCGCAGTGAGATGCGCAAGAAAGTCCTGGAGGAGTACAAGAACGGGTCAAAGGACACGCCAACCTCGGAGTGAGGGAAGAAGCCCACCTCGGAGCGCAACGCGCGCATGGGCGCAGCTGGAGGCATTGGTACAGCCAGAAATGAGGCAGCGCAATGAAAGGGGCAGCGCTGCAAGGTCGCCGGCGCTAGCGCAACAGCGCTGTTGCAAAGCATTGGCGGTGGGCGCCTCTCTTGAAGCAAAGTTGTGGTGATTATCAAACGCTCTTGGGTCATGCGGGCGCACTCGTTGCGCTTGCTGCCAGTAAGGGGAAGTGTTTCGTGTAAATGTTTTTGGGGTTTTTGGTGTGTGCTCGCGGCTGCTGAAGGTTGGCGTGCAGCACATCCAGCAAGTCCCCACACACAGACTCTGTATGTATCGGATACACGCACAAACCCGATCGCTGCTCGCCAAATGAGCCCTGCAGGGCAAATCAGCCGAGATTGCAAAATCACCGCATGTTGCTTGGCTGCTGACTCACCCTGTATTTGCCTCATGCACCTTCCCAAGCCTTGCAACCCATTTCTCAGGCTCCATGCCCCTCCCCCTGCAATACTGTAGTGCAGACACGCTCTCAGTGCCCCTGCAGTGCGGTCAGTTTGGTCCACATCGAGTCAGTGGCTGTGGCTCCCTGTGGAATTTGTGCAAGGGGCTGCGACCACTTTGGGCGCACGATCCGTGGGGCAATGGCTTGGTGGCAAAATTTGTAACATAATACACGCTTCACAACCTAACTACGTTAATCACCAGCGCCCACACACTGTACCTGTTTGTCACAAGTTGAGATCTGCAGCTGTGTGCGTGCATGCGTGTGTGTGTGTGTGTGTGCGTGTGTGTGTGTGTGTGTGTGTGTGTGTGTGTGTGTGTGTGTGTGTGTGTGTGTGTGTGTGCGCGTGTGTGCGTGCGTGTGTGCGTGTGTGCGCGCACGTGTGTGCGGGCCCCACCAAGGTGTCAAATATACCCAGGGCTCCCGAGCCTGCCCGGCCGGCCTCCACGTTCTCCCTGATACCCCTGCACAAAAGCGATACTTTGGAAAGAGACGCTGATAATCGACCCTCGCGCCCGCACCCGCTGGGGTGAGGGGTGAAGCCCCGCTCACAGTTGTGCGGCATTATTTACAGACTGCGCCAGGTTTGATTCGTATGCGCAAGAGACACGCGAATGCAGGCGCAGGGCCGGCATGCCTAAAGCCCGCAGGCTGGGGGAAGGCGAGCGGGAAGGCGGCAGGCGGAAGCGCGCCTGGGAGCAGGCGTGTGGCCGGCGGCCCGCTGTTGCTGCGTCCTGCAATGGGGGGGGGGGACACGTGCATGCAGGCCCTTCCTAAACGCGCTCGCAATGCATCGTCGGCAGGGGCGCGAAAGACGAGAGCGCGCGCCCTTGAAAGTCTCAAGTGCGGCCCAAAACACTTGCACGCGGCCCCCCACCGGCATCGTTGGTTCGCATCGCACTCAAAATGCACACCTCTCGCACAGCGCGCGCTGAGGAGCAAGCGCGTGACGAATTGCCGGCAAGCCCTGAAACGACAAAACACGGCAGCCGCCAAGACTAAAACGGCTGGAAACGCTTTTTGGGACGAAGCGAGGTGCAATACTGGGCACGCGCCCAAGTAATTGCCGCCCGGCGCCACAGCTGTCAGGCCCTATGCTTCCAGTGGGGGCGGCGTGCCACCTTGCATCCTGCAGGATGGGCCGCCTAGACCACAGCGCTTGCCGCAGCGCGGGTGAACCATCACGCTGCACGCACCCCCTCTTTGCCGGCTGGCACCTGGAAAGTCCTAGCAAACCGCACATACCAAACCCGGTCATACCCTACAAGGACCCAAATTGGGTCCCGAGCCCCCACTTCACTTGCTTGCAGCCCGCCCCTGCTTGCCTCCTGCGCCGCTGCGCGTGCCGGCTGCTGCCGCTGCTGCAAGGCAGTGGCCAGCGCGGAGTGCTGTGATGCAATCGCCCGCCACGCCCCTTGCACCGCTTGGCGTGCGCACCCTACCGTCCCCTGGCTGTGCAGCCGCCGCGCAGCTTCCAAATCAGCCCCGCCGGCCGCCGCCGGGCAGGGCGCCCCTCGATGCCGCCGCGCATACGCCGAACATCCACGCCGCGCGGCCGCCCCGCCCCGTCCCGCCCGCCGGCCGCCTGGTCCGCCGGCTGCGGGCGTCACTGCGCGGCGGGGGCGCGAAGCTTCCCGATCTCCTCCGCCAGCTGGCGCCGCAGGTCCGTGAGGCGTGACTTGTGGCCAGAGTCCCCCTCGGCCTCGGCCACCCACTTGTCCACCGTTGACAGGATGAAGGGGCCCCTGGCCGGTGTCAACAGAACAGGGGGTGGGTGAACAGCAGGGCATTGGTTTGAAAAGCGGCGACGCACTAAAAGCAACTTGATTTCGGGTGCAGCCAGGGTCTGCTGGAAAAGGGTCGCCTGGATTGCCCAGAGCTTCAAGATAGTGGGAACGTTCCACCGACGCAGCGTGCGCCGCTGGGTGGTCGGTCAGGGAAACAGCACGCGCCGCTGGGCAGCCAATTGGAAAGCAGCCGGCGCGGGACAAGCCGTCGCGCGACGCGGCGCGGGGACGGGAAGGGGAGCAGAAGGCGGTGTCGGGTGGGCGGCGTCGGCGGCGAGCCCTGGCGCGCGGCCTCCACACAGGCTGCGTTCCCTGGAGTGTGTTCACCCCCCCCCCCCACCTGATCCTGAAGTGTGCCTGTATGAGCTCCTTCCACTCCGCAGGGGGGTGCCTCAGCTGGTCTAGCATGGCCAGCTTGATGGTCTCCTCACGTATGGGCTGGGGTTGGAGGCATGGATGTGGGTGTGAGGGTTTGTGTGGGGTGGCAGGTGGGCGGGTAGGCGAGAAAGCCAGGTGGACAGGCGGGTGGCAAAAGGGCTCTTGTGTGAGCAGCAAAGGGGCGGTGTTGCTGTGGGACCACGGGAGGAGGCGCGGCTGGCGGCACGCGTGCGTCGGGGCAGACCCGCCGTGCGCACACCGGAATTCCTTGCCAACAGACATGAGCCCCTACCGCGCCCGCGGCCCGGCTGCCCCGCTGCTCCCACGACAGCAGGAGCCCCACGATATCCCACAGCCTCCCTGCTCGCCGCCCTACTACTACGTGCGCGCTGTGTGATGCGACAGCCTCCAGCCCCCACCACGTGCGTCACTGCCCGCGACAGCCCCCAACGCCGCGCGTCACTGCCTGCCTCGAGGCTGCAGGGTCGCACCTTGTTGTAGGCCCTGCTCTGAGCGCGGCCCGTCTCAGAGTGCATGGTGCGCTCGAAGCCCGGCTCTGCGGGGGGGGTGTGAGCGTGTACGCATGTGTGGGAGCATGCGTGTGTGCGTGTATGCATATGTGTGTGCATGTGCGTGTGTGTATGTTGAGAAATGCCAGACATGTTTCCAGCTGCCGCTCTTGCACAGCGCCTGATGGTGCGGTGACCTTGTCACTAGCGGTCACCTGACACCGTCAACCATCGATCACGGCGTCTGCTCACCGTTGAAGTAGGGCTCATCCACCAGGATGAGGGACTGGATGGAGATCAGGACCTGCGAAGAACGGGCGGCGTGATGTGTGTGTGTGTGTGTGTACATACACATATGTGCGTGTGTGTGTGTGTGCGTGTGTGCGTGCGCGTGTGTGTGTGTGTGTGTGTGTGTGCGCGCGCGCACGCGCGCGCATGTGTGTGCAAGCGTTTCAGTTGGATGCGTGCGCAAGAAAGAGGGCAAGAGACAGCAGAGCGAGTGAGCCGGTGTGTGCATGTGTGGAATCATGAGTGTGTAAAGCGCGTGTGTGCGAGGGAAAGATCTGGTGGTTGGAGAGGTTGACCGCAAGGACTTGGGGCACAGCATGGTGTAGGCACCAGGCAGACGCAAGAAAAAACGAAGGTTTGCCGAAAAGACACGGCAATGCGGGGGGGCGACCTGAGGGTCGTGCCTGCGTGTGGGCCGGGGCCAGCCGCGCCGCCGTCTCCTGGCCCCAACGACCCAAGGCCCCGCCCCCCGCCCCCCGCGTCCCGGCCCCAAGGACCCGCTCGTCGCGCCACGCCGCACCTGGAAAGTGGTGGAGACGTCCGGGTTCCAGCTCTCCCCCTGGGCGCCACTCCAGGTTCCAAGCAGCGACAGGCACACCTGCAGCGGTGCAGCGGGTTGCAAAGGAGGAGGGGTTGGGGACGCGCGTGGCGGGCCGCTGACGCGCTGGCGCTCAAGCAGGGAGACGGCCGGGCTGAGCCCGGATGGCCCCACGCCCAACAAGCAAGGGCGCCGGCACGCCGTGGATTGCGCGCGCAGCCAGCGCGCGCCGGCAAGTGAAACAACGCCGGCGGGCGCACGCGTGCAGCGCAATGGCAAGGCGCCGCACCTTGCCGCAGTTGTAGAGGTTGGGGTTGAACCGGAAGCGGCCGCCGCCGGTGGTCTTGAGCAGGACCGATGGGGGTTGCTGTGTGTGTGTGTATGTGTGTGTGTTGTGGGTGGTGTGTCTGTGTTTGTGTGTGTGTGTTTGTATAAGGTAGGGGAGGGCGCCAGTTGATCGGCGGGAACAGGTGTTCAGTGAAGCGCAAGGCAGCGGTCCCAGTAATGTCAGCAAGGCAGCGGTCCCAGTAATGTCAGCAAGGCAGCGGTCCCAGTAATGTCAACAAGGCAGCGGTCCCAGTAATGTCAGCAAGGCAGCGGTCCCAGTAATGTCAGCAAGGCAGCGGTCCCAGTAACGTGACGAGGGTGGGTGGCGCCCGCCCCCGCCAAGGGCCATTGCCAATATCCTTGCCCCCCTTCCCCCAGCTGAAACCCGGGATGCGGCGGCCTGCGAGCGTGGGGGCACAAGTCTAAAGGCGCCAGCGGCCGGCGGCCGGCAGCCAGCGGGCTCGGGCCGCGACGAGGGCATGTGGCGCACCTGGGGGTATGTCCCAGGGAAGTAGATGTCAAAGACGAAGCAGCCGCCGCTGTAGGGGGTGTCGTCGGGGCCCGTGATGAGGGCGCGCCACAGGAACGCGTTGGCCTCGTCCACGCGCACAAAGACGCCTGCGAGGCGCGCGCAAAGGGGGGAAGAGAGTGAGTGGAATGGGAGGCGGCCATGATGTGGACGGGAGCATGGCGCGTGCGGGCGGATGTGAGCGTGTTGGAAGATGGCGGTGCTGGATCCCTCGCCCCGCCTGCCCACCCACCCATTGCGCACCCGCCGCGCCCGTGCAAACACACACACACACACACACACACACACACACACACACACACACACACACACACACACACACACACACGCCGTCCCTGGGCCCCGCCCGTGGCCGCGCCCGGCGGCCCCCGACCCGTTCTGGAAGGCGTGCAGAAGCGCACCGCTGCTCTCCGTCAGCGGCAGCAGGCGCTCCAGCCCAGCAATCTCCTTGGCCACCCGCGCCGCGCGCGTCTTGAGCGCCGTCGCCTCGTTGCGCGCGTGCTTCAGGTGCATGTGGTCGGTCGCGACCGCGGGGTGGTAGTCCACCTGATAGAGAAAAGCCCCATTGTAATATTTTTGCGATTGGCGATAACAAATTTTGGTGATCGTACGATTGGGGGTGCGACGACGTGCCCAAAGGGATGACGGGTGCTGGAAGCTGCTGTAATGTGGCGCCCATGCAGAGGGGTTGGGGCAGGGGTGCGACGGCAGGGAGGGGGGTACGGAAACGAGAAGCTGGGCAGCTGAAAGCGGGGAGGCAGCTGGCGGGAAGCTTGCGCACCTGCAGCGGCCGCATGACGGTCAAGTAGTCCTCGTCAGGCGCCACTGCTTGCTGCTGCTGCTGCTGCTGCTGCTGCTGCTGCTGCTGCTCCGGCTGGGGCTGCCCCTGCTGCACCTGTGCCTGCCCCTGCCCCGCCGCCGCCGCCGCCGCGCGTTCCGCCGCCGCCGCCGCCGCCCGCGTCACTCGCCGCCGCGGCGCCTCCGCCTGCTGCTGCTGCGGCGCCGCCGCCGGCGCCTGTGCCGGCGCCTGAGCCAGCGCCGCCTGCTGCCCGCCAGGTGCGGCGGCCGCCGCCGGCGCCGAAGTGTCCACATTCTGGGCGGCCAGACGCGCCACGATGTCAGCGACGAGGTCCGCCATGGCCAGCCCCGCCCGCGCCTCTCGCACCGCCTCCTCGGCTGCCGGGCAGAGGGGGAGCAGGGGCAGCAAGATTATGCGGCGGGTGGGGCGCGGCGCAGGATATTGCTTTCCTCCGCATCGTCAGCAAACAGAGGTGGCTGCGGTCGCCAGGGCCCAGGGCGCATTGGTACACGCGCACTGGGCTGTCAGGGGACAAGCCGACGCCTGCTGAATGCTCTGCCAGCAAAGCCCAGGGGGGGGGGGCGCCCCGGATATCGCCCCCTTGCGCATCCGCAGCCCCTGGGCTCCGACTCACCCGCCGCAGCCGCGCGCGCGGAGACCGTCAAAGCGGGCCCCGCGCCGCCGCCGCCCGCGCCGCCGCTGCCGCTCGCCTCCGCGCCGGGCGGGAGCACCGTCTTGCGTATGACGACCGCGTAGTGCTTCGCCGCGTTCTGCATGCCCGCGACCGCCCTGCCCACCGCGCCAGTGTGATCGCCGCCGCCGCCGCTGCTGCCGGCCCCACCGCCGCCGCCACCGCCGGCGTCCACAGCCGGGCTGCCGAGAAGGTGTGCGGTCCCTGGGCGGCAGAGCTCCTGCGCGCAGGAGCCGCCAGCGTGCGCAGTCAAACTGTTGCTGCATTCTGCCAGCGTCCCAAACAATACCACTTTCCGCTCATAAAGATAGGCATGATACGGGCAGCCGATGCGCCAGGCCGGCAGGCACAGCCCAGCGGCAAGACATGAGATCACATCCCTTGAACAACGACATGCAAACTGGTCAAACCAGTCAACCCTGGCTGCTCGCCTGCACAATCCGCAGCAGTGTGGTGTAGAAGGCGCTCCTGCTGGTCATCTCGGTGAACGCCGCGCTGCACAGGTGGTGCCACAGAAACGGCAGCAGCACACTATCCCTCACCACCGCCGCCGCCGCCGCCGCCGCCGCTGCGCGCGCCTTGCTGCCATCCTCCGCCGCCCCGCCGCCGCCGCCAGCGCCCGCACCGCCCGCGTCCGTGGCAGGCGGGGGCGCGACGCTGCCGCCGAGCTCGGAGATCAGCGCGCCCAGCAGGACGCCGAGGACGGCCTGCAGCTGCTCATCGTACGCCTTCTGGGCAGCTTCCGCTGCCTTGGGGTCCCAGGTCGCCTGGCAGGGACAGGAGCGGGAGAGAAGGTTGCGCGTCCGTGTGCGCTCTTGTGTGTCGGGGTACGGAGGGTGCGTGCATACGTGCTATGCATGGCGTGTCAGGCAACCATGTCGGCCGCACAAAAGAGGGCCGCGGGGTTTGCTCTAGTGAGGCCGGGTTGCCCTGGCAGCACCAGAGCGGGGGCGCCGACGCATGAACATGGGTGCGCCCCTGCCTGCTAGAGCACACGCAAGTGGTTGTGTCAGCCAGCCCGCTGGGAGACATGCAGAGGCCCCTCCTCGTTCTTTGGCAGCACGGCGTCCCAACCATGCCTTTGATCAAAGATCAGGATAGAAGCTGCCGGAAGGTTCACGAACCTCACCTTTCCGGTGTTGCCAAACCCATAACCTGTGCCCCGCGCCCAATACGTCTCCTTGCCAGGCGCCGCCGGGGCGCCACC